TTTGAGTTTGGCCGTCTTACAACCGGCTTCTACGCAATCTTCGTCCCATTGATTTGGCGCAAACACGAACATAATGTAGAGCAACGTGCGCAGTGTAAAGGGAAGAAAAAAAACTGACGCTGGGATATCTGAATTGGCATGAAATAAACTCTCAAATTGCAACATTTTTCAATAGGCAAAAGCTCCTCACTTCGCAATGCGATGCAACTCGTATTGTCGTATGATGCCATTTCCTTTGCTGGTAAAAAAAAAACTTAAACGGTGCGTGGCGAATGAAAATAATTTGAGGAAAAGATTTGATCACCAGGTTGTTGGGCATATGCAATTCCATTTCGTGATTATGAGAGTCATCCCTCATGTTAATTATTTCATTTTTTTTAAAATACAGTATTTAGAAAATGTGATAATGATGACGATGATTAGAATATTCACGACAACAAATTAGATTTATTTTCATCCAGCTATATAAATTAGTGAGGGGGGGGGGGGGGAGGTCACACAGTGGTTATCACACCCTGCCATAAACCTAAGTTTGATTCCAGACCACAGCTATCATTAGTGGCGAGTGATATAGGAACCACAACGTGATCACCCCTTTCACCACTGCACTGACCAGCAAGTATAGAAGCATGGTAAACCAAATTGCATGAGTTGGCCTTCATCCACCAGTGGACTGACATTGGGCTTCACATATTTTTAATATTTACTGTAATTTAAGGATATTGCCACAGTGTAATGGTTCGCACATTGGACTTTTGGTGTCAAGTTATAAGCAGAATTATGGGTTATTACTTAGCACATTGGATTTGCAATTCAGAGGTCATTGGTTCAGTCTCGTGGCGGGGCAGTTGCAACAGAGGCCAGGTTTATTGAATTCCCCCTGTCGCTGGCCAGCAATAAATGGGGACACCACAGTCAACTGGCAGGTTAACACGTGGTGGGTTAACACGTGGTGGGGTAACACGTGGTGGGTTAACACGTGGTGGGTTAACACGTGGTGGGTTAACACGTGGTGGGGTAACACGTGGTGGGGTAACACGTGGTGGGTTAACACGTGGTGGGGTAACACGTGGTGGGTTAACATGTGGTGGGGTAATATGTTATGGGGTAACATGTGGTGGGTTAACATGTGGTGGGTTAACATGTGGTGGGTTAACATGTGAGTTAACATGTGATGGGGTAACATGTGGTGGGTTAACATGTGGTGGGGTAACATGTGGTGGGTTAACACGTGGTGGGGTAACATGTAGTGGGTTAACATGTGATGGGGTAACATGTGATGGGGTAACATGTGGTGGGTTAACACGTGGTGGGTTAACATGTGATGGGGTAACATGTGATTGGGTAACATGTGGTGGGGTAACATGTGGTGGGTTAACACGTGGTGGGTTAACATGTGGTGGGTTAACATGTGGTGGGGTTAACATGTGGTGGGGTAACATGTGGTGGGGTAACATGTGGTGGGTTAACATGTGATGGGGTAACATGTGGTGGGTTAACATGTGGTGGGTTAACATGTGGTGGGTTAACATGTGATGGGGTAACATGTGGTGGGTTAACATGTGGTGGGGTAACATGTGGTGGGGTAACATGTGATGGGGTAACATGTGGTGGGGTAACACGTGATGGGTTAACATGTGGTGGGTTAACATGTGATGGGGTTAACATGTGATGGGGTTAACATGTGGGTATGCCCACATCTTTCCAATACATCTTGCCAGCATGGAAGAATAGGCCAACATCATTTGCTAGAAAGAGCTGTAGTGGAGGCGCTACTGCAAGCAGTGAACATGAGCAAGCGATTGCTGGGATGCATAGGTATCTAACATTGCAATTTAAGTCGTTTTTATATATATACGTGAATCTAAATTCATTGATCACATCACAATTGGCTACTCGTTGACTGCTTGCCATGCGGACACTGAAAAAATGGCATTTGTTTTTTCACCATGGCTCAAACCACATCCCACTATGTGTATCACCCTGCTAAAGGATGACATTCAAGTGTGTTAAATTTGTGTTTCCTTTATAAACCAGCTATTTGGCACAAAGCTACGGGAATTACCAATCCTTTTCAAAAACCAGTGAAGCACATAACACCAAGCCGGGAAAACTATGAACCATCATTATCACTATTAACACCACATGCCAGATGCAAAATGTGGATGAATTAACTCTGAAAGCATTGCCGGTTTATGTGTTGAGGTCCCAATCTACTCGCGTCCCGGTGGAAAGTTCAAATTTAACACCTCATTATTTCTAAACTGTGACTGTGAATGGGCCTAACATGCATCGAGTTTACAATATAACAAGGCACGCGTGAGTGTTTGGGGGACTGAGGTTCAGTTATAACTTACGTGCGACTCTCATTCCACCTTTGGATAAGGGCCTCCACCCCCCCACACCATTATTTGACCATACTTCACCGTGCCGTTCAGTGCTGGTCGGTGGTGAATATTCACGAGCGTAGGAGTATAGTACTTTTTACTTTTGCTGCCGCTGCCTCCTGCTACCCACCAACGTGGCCCATGCAAAACCCTCTAGGGTGCTAATGTAGGTAAACATTAACACGGCCGTTTGCAAAACTCGGTAATTAAACATTAATGTTGCCAGCTCCTTTTGTGCATTAGTAATATTGCCCTCGCTCTTGCCGTGTCAGAACATCCACTGCTAAACACTCGAGATCATGTTGGCATTAATAATTCACGCTGCAACAGGAAGAAAAAAAAACATTTGTCGACATGAAATTGCATTAAGCATGGAAATCTATAAACAGAGATGGCTAGAAAATAAGTTAGTGTACCGTCTGTCTTATACTGACTTCCTACTCCTGTATTAAGGTTCACAGGTGTTAATGTTGAAATAATAATAATTATGCACGACTCGATTAATTATTCTCGTACAATATTCCGTCGATCTTGGTCGTCTAAATAAGGTGACGTTTTGCAAGGGTTCGGATAGTTTTTTAATGCGCCCCATCCTGCGCTTTTCCCGGCTCAGCCATCCTGCTGAGAATTCTATCGCCGTGCCTTGGTCCAAAAATGCTTTTCATCTCGCATTCGGTCACCGATATGGGCTCATCCAAGTCAACAATGACTTCAAGAGGATGAAAACTGGTTTTTAGAAAATTATGTTTGCACTTGAGTCCATCATGCTAATCTCAAGATGAAATGGATAGCGGGTGACCGTGTGAGGGCATCGGGTGTGGTATGTCAGTCCGTCAGGAGTACTCGGCAGACTCGAAGACAATGTGCCAGATTGGGTAATTAATTGATCTTTTTTTAATAACGATGTAGACAAGTTGGTCATATCTCCTTCCTGAATTTCTTACACAATCCATTGGTCGCACGGCCCTGTGAGAGTGCATTATTTTAGCAGCACCTCCGATGAGGATGGTTGGCTACGTACGGTGCGAAAGAAGTTCAACATACATACATATACATAACAAGCAAACTCTGGAGCAGTTTCGACGTACAGTGTCTCATCAACAGTCGCGCTTGCTTGCATCAATGCTGGTGTGAAAATCGTATTGCAGTGCAATCGTACTGGAAAGTATTATACGTTAATATTGCTTTTTTAATGTCATTTTTGACCCAGTGTCTCACGACAGGGCGCTGCGGGGCTACGCTGTCAGCCGGGGCCACTGCAAAACAAATACATCGCTGTACTGCACTATGCTCCGACGTCTATGCTCCCCCCCTTCCCCAACCAACCCGCATTGATCAGCGTGATGAACTATGATCAATCAACTCCCATGGGCAGACGCTCGTTCAGCAGTGGTTTGCGACAGGAGAGTGTACACGTCCTGTTGTTTGTTCTTCCCGCAGAGTGCGGATTGTAACGCTCTGCGACTGCCACCCGCTTCCTTTTTTACTGCATTGTCACCGCGGCGAAATGGCACGCGCGGCGGCATTGGAGGCTGGACACCTTCGGCTATTGCCATTTGGCTATTGTCATTTGGATGGTACTGACAGACATAGGAACGTGTGCCCGGCTTGTGTGTGGCCAGTATGCTGAGACGAGGACATTACACTGCCTAATCTCTCTTGAAGCTGCTTAGTGAGATTGATTGTCTGTCACTTGGTGATTTGCATCGATGGGGGAAGAGTTGTGCCTGCCATGCTGGGTTAAGCCCTATGAGCAGTTGGCAAAACTACTGCTCCGTGTAAATGCTCGCTTGATTATTTTTTTAAAGCGAATTATTAGCAATGAATTACCACGTGACCTTTATTAAATAATACAAGCTTTGCACAATGAAATGGGTTTTAAAAATAGCTGCACCTTTTTGAACCTGGTGACACGGGAGCAAAACTGTGCTAATTTGTACCAACAAAGGGACCATGGTGAGTTCTTTATATATTTAGTTTTTTGTGTCAGAAATGTCATGTTTTTTATGCTTGATTTGCTGTCATTCGTCGTCACCTAAATTGTTAATGGTATTTATTTTACACGCCTTTAAATTACTTTGGAGAGCCAGTGTGGAGAGTGACAAAAAATAATTTAAACAAAAAAATCAGTTTGTAAAGAGGTGGATCGATGGCGCAGCATGTGGACTGCACTCCGAAACCCGGCGACCCGAGTTAGATTCCCAGACATGGCGAACATTAGCGTCAAGTGGTATCCGAACTGCTCCTGAGCTCCCTGCCGCCGTCACAAGCCTGCACTGGCAAAGCGTGGGGAAGTATGGTCAAACAATGACCTACACAGTGCGAATTAAACGAGTGGGGAATGCAAATTCCCGTTTATTCTACACTGTGATTAATTAATTAGGCTTACCGCTCAGAACTAATTAAAAAAATCGCTAAAATGTTTAATCTAATTAGTGATTGTTGTTATTAACAAACTCCGTGAAACTTTCTAATGCATATCAGTGTTGCGGACATTCATACAGTGTTGAAACTTTAAATTGTGTATTGATTAAACAGCGATGGGACCTCTTTGCGACTCTGCGTAATGCTTGATTTGAGGCTTTCCATGTTTTAAGAAATATGTTCTCTTACCATATTTGTGCACGTTATTCCACAGATGGTGCCATCCCCTTTCATCGTTTCAATCTTCGTCTTCTGTATCTTAGTCTTCTGCAATGAAGAGCACAGGAGACACAAGTCCAGCATAATTAATGTCACTCGTTTGATGTTCATAATGTGCCTTTGTTCACATTTGTCAGTTACACAGGAATGAATTGATCAAATGCACAATGTGCAGTGCGTTATCTCACTGCTGTGCGAAGGCCTTCCCGTGCCGTATTTATCGTTGGGGGTGGGGGTAGTTGCCCATATTTCACCATGCTGCTTGGTGCAAGTTGGTGAAGAGGGGGGGGGGGGGGGCGTGGCAGGGGGCGGCCGGTATCAGGTCAAATATCACTTGCCGCCACTGATCTTAGTCTTCACCGGGCAGCCAACTCCGCGTCCGTTAATCATCGCCCCCATTGTTCCCTAATAAATATTTAATTTATATCTCGATTCGTGTTATTCAACCATAAAATGATTTTTTTTTAAAACCCAATGGAGATGCACGACTTTATCGCTGCGCGTATTAAAAGGCATCGTTATGAATACGGTGTCAAGCAAAAACAGGGGCTTGAAAACAAACCCTGGTCAGTTACCGACGAGAGAAACCTAAGAATGAGTGCCTACAGGCGCTTGAGTACGACGGTGGAACCTCACGGGGGCTCCTTCTGCCTTTAGGCTGGCATGTGGAGGCATCTATTGCCACGGCTGACTGCCAACTTGTTGAAGTACTTGGAATAATTGTAAAGCTGTGTGTCTGACCATGGGCGTTAAAAAAATGTGAATATCGGCAGCGCAAGCTGATGAAGGCCACCTGGTTGGGAGTTGACCCATTGGTTGTAAGATGACCGTAAGCAGCACTTTCGATTTAAAATGTCATAAAAGTGAATATTTATTTATTTGAGTATGTAGATGTATAAATGTTATGGTTATCGAGGAGAATAACCTTCCACCAAAATAATGATGAAATTGCGCGATCCCTTTGATCCTACGAATGTAAATGCTAACAAAGACAGTTGTTTCTAGCTCTGCCAACTCCATTTTATTTGCAAGTATTCCATGAATAAATGTACTGTGCATTGACACGCACAGTCTTCTCCCCATATATTTTTCCACTCAGCACACATTGAACGTTAATTTGCTCTTGTTGAAAATGGGACCGTGTGTCTATTAAAGAGCCCAGCATGTAAAAATATCACGATAAATTGTCCTGCTTATTGTTTATGTTTCATTTAATATTTTGCTTCATCTGTTTATCTGATGGCTAGTCTGTATTTCTAATCTGTTTCTAACAGCTTTGTTTATTTCTTTGTGCCCCTATCTGTCCCCCCACGTCTTTGTACAAGCCTCCCTTTATTCGGCGGGTTTCCATGTTTGTATACCAATTCCATCAATAGACGGTAAATATCACTCTCGTCGTTTTTTTTTTGGCTTGGCCTTTTTTGCTGATGATATCAAAGCAGCCAGCCATGTGATCTGCGATGCAAGCAGTCAATCATATAGATCCAGTTGCAGTCCCACCCCCACCCGCCCTTTAAGTGATTGGCAGCTGTTTCCTCTAAGCAGGACTACTAACATCTGCACGTTGCCCATTTTATGTATATTCTATTTCGGGTTAACATTTAATTTTTGCATAAAAAATCCATCTGGATACCCCATAATACAAACTTGAATATGGCGTTCCCTGCAGCACATTTTTTTTGTGGAAATATAAACAGCTTGAACCCTTCCACACCAAAGCCGACTGAATTTTCCAATGGAGTGCTGTCCTTTTGAAATGTGAATAATAATAAATAAAACATCTCCAACGTACACACTTTGAATCGAACTCTAGCAAGCAATGAATGTTATTAAAATGTAAAAAAATGTTCTTTGCCTATTTTTAGTTTAAGTATTAAAGCTGTGAAAAGGTCCAGGGATTGGCTGCGTTTTGTGTGTGTGTTCATTTGCATGGATCGTTAAGGTCACATTGGATTGGTATAAGTATTCATCCCGGCACTTGTGCTATTCCTTTAATAGACCCACATTTTAATGGCGCTTGAGGTTATATAATTTCATACTGATTTATCAGCTTGCAAGAGGTGAGAGTTCCTATACTTTTCCAGGATTATGATACTTGATTAATAACAATGGCCATTAACAACACCATTTTTGCTTTAAACAAAAGCTTTCAAGCGTACTAAAAGACGTGGAGAGATGCAGGCGGTTTGGAATTACGTTGATAAGCAGAGGAACACGTGGATTCTAGAACACACGCAGGTTAAAGACAATTCAAACTGTTGAGAAAACCAAGTGGGCCTGGACAGGGATGATGCCAGATGATCAATGATAGTGACCGAGAGCGTCAGCCAAGTAATTGAAGGCGTCGAACAGCATCCCTCCAAAGGAGATGGAGCGATGCAATCAGCTTGTGTGCAAGATGCTAGGTGGATTACTACGTCGTAGGATCGTGAGAGGTGGCAGCAACTTAGGGAGGCCTGCATCCAGTCATAAGCTGAAAGTGAAAATTATGAAAACGGGTTCCAGTAAACAAAAAACGCATGCATATTTAACAAGCCGTGTTAATATGCGTGGTCTTCATTATCATAAACTTGCGACATTGTCTATCCACTGATGGATGGAGGCCCCCACATGCTGTTACCCTCTCTCCTCTGGTCTACTGATAACCACAGTCCATCTCCTGCACTTGACCTGATCTCATCACTCGATCGTCGTGGCAGTAAGTCTCAGGCCAGCGCTCTCCGTCGGCCTTCGTTTTTGTTACCAGTCCCGTCCGTTGGCCATCGTCTCTTCTAGCGATGCATCCAGCCCAAGACTACTGACTCCCCTACACAGTCACCACGGCGTGTCCGTCACTCACGTGTGCATTCCCTCATCCACGTGTTCCTCTTTATGTCTCTCGGTGTAATTCCAATCGTGTATCCTCTCCATGCTTATCCTGTGTGTCGACGTGTTTTTTTTTGTTCCATTTTGTTTGTCATTGCCCCGTGAATGTATTTAAATCGTTCTTCTTCAGGAACATCACAATCTTGACCTTGATAAAAAAAAAACAGATTTAATCTACTTTTCAAAAACATTGCCTTTTGATTGCCGTCGATTGCCTTTTGTTTTATTTTGATCCTGGAGCACCTTCAATAAACGCCCTCGGGGGTAACTTTTGTGCTCTCATTCCAGTTGTGTCCCCCCCAAAAAATTATAGCTTTATATTCAGCAAACTTGTCATACGTGTGTAGTTGTTGTTTGGCTCACATTTATTTTGAGCCCAGCTTGGCACTCTTCATTGTTCAGTTCTCTTCAATCATAATCTGCAGTTAATTTTCCCTGGGCGTTACGCTGATTATGCCACCAGAAAATTCTGAGATTGCTAATACTCTGTCCGTGTATGCTTTTGCCTTTGTTTCTCTAAAGTTTCATCCAAGTCGTGCAAACCAGGTTTTGAAACAGAAGTGTCACGCATATGTATCGGACGTGTGGGCAGAAGTAAAACACATCAGTTGTGGAGCTATGCTTCCGTCACACGTATAATTAAAAAATGGAGAAAAACGTGATCTGAAAAATGTACAGACCGATTAGTTGTTTTATTACATGCACAGTAGAGTATATATTGTTAGCGAAAACCACAGGGAAGTGAGCAATGGTTATTTTAGAGGCCATCTCAAAGACGTGAGCAGGATGGATTTAGAATTGATTAATTTGATATGAAGAAGAAAAAGGCTCATTGCCTGCAACGTCGTCTACGATTTTTGTTTCCTTTTAAGGCCACGGTGTTATTGATGAATGTGTTGAGTTTTGGGAATTTACAATGGGGGTTTTGTTATCATGGGCCACCCAACATACTATAAATCAGATCCCAAGAAAAATTTAAGATTATTATCATATCGCATAAACTATGAAAATTAACTTGATTCATTTGTGACTATGCAGTCATTTAAGCTCTTACAAAGGCATTAATGTACAACAAAATATAGAAATTGTCAAAAAGCATTGCTGAAGAGATGGACCAGCTCCGTTGAGATTGCAAAAGAGTCAGGCAAGATGCGAGTCTCTAATCAAAGCAATTCAAAGCAACATTAGAAGACAATCCAAGTAGCGACGAGCTATTTAAGTCGTGCCATTGGTTTTACTACATCATAGCTATGAAATTATGCTGCACCAAGAACTGGAATGTACACATGAATTAACATTTATCAACATTTAATTTTCTTCTACGCCAAATGCAGTCAGTATGAGAGCGACAGCACACGTTATCATATTTATGTCACGGTAGATGTTTTTATAGTGCATATGATTGTATCTGTGTCTTAATGTAACCCATGGTATTATACACTTTGGCAAATGTTGGTCTCAGTGATAATGCAAAAAGGACATATTTCATTGTACATGCTTTGATAACAATAATAATAATAATAAAAGATGGTAGATATATTATCTGGTGACCAGACTGACACGCATCTAAAGAAATGTCCGTTTAACCCAAACGCAACAATGCCCACATATACGCAGCGCCGTTATCTTGATCCGATGCATCTTAATATTGTGGCCAATACATCTATATGATACATAAGGCTGACTTTCACGAAGGCCTACTGTACTGTAAAAAAACAACTCAGGCACACAAGCCTCACAACTCCGATTAGCACGATTGGCTACGTACAGTGCGAAAGAAGTTTAACATACGTTCATCCATCCATAACGATTTGTAGAGCGAAATTTGCCATTGCTCTTGATCAAATATATATTTAAAATTGATCCTCGAAATCATCGTCGGAATGATCATCGTGAACAGCGGTGTCTCCGCAAAGGACAGAGTTAACAATATTGCAATACACAAATATTCTGTGGCGCAGCGCCGTATTTCAGAGCCGTAATTGCTTTTCTTATAAAAACATTAGGACCGTCGGCTACGCTAGAGGCATGTTATATATTCAGTGTCGTTGGAATAATATTTAAAAAAAGGGGGACTGTAATATTCTCTAGAATTTCAAAGAATCGTTAAATGGGGCTCCATTCTTTTAGCTGTTAAATATTCACTTGACGTGCGTTTAAATTCCAAGAAGTGTAATTGGATT